ATTGGCATGTTTCCTTAACATGACATCTCTAACGTTCATCCATGTTGCCCACATGGCAGAATAAAGGAGTAGGGACACTTCGAAGAGATTCTGAAAATTCAGCTTGGTTACACTCCAGGCACATTCTGCTCTGCTCCTGCTTGATGCCCACATGGCCACTAGATGGCACAGTAGGGATTGGGCTCTTACCCTTCCAGCCTCAATTCCCTTTCTTCTCACGCCCTTTCCTCAGAATGCACTGGAGTAAAGGAGTCTTTCTCAAGACAGTTTTGACTGAAGCTAATGCTTCCAGATGAAGACAGTCCAATAAAATATGTCTTTCTGCTGACCTTATGAACCCTGACTCTTCCTGTCCATTGATGTCTGAATCCTCTGTCATTCACTCTGTATTGAAACATTCTCAGGGTGCCTAAAAAATAAATGAACCCAGGCCACTCTTGACTTTGGAGAAGCAACAAATGAGACACATTCCCAGTATTTCAAAAATCTAGGTGAAGCACACAAACCTAAAAAGGCCATTTTAAGAGCAGAAAATTATGGAGAATTAAAAACCAATTCCATGTATCAGAGGTGCAAAACCTATGAACATTAATTTGCAAACTGAATACAGCAATACATTAGGACCTCTGAGAAATAATTCCAGGAAGTCAACACTGGTTAGCTTTTGATAATCAGTTAATATAATTATCCCATTAACAGAACAGATAAATAAAATGTTGCTCTCAGTAGATACAGAGAAACTTTTTGAAAGTTCACTCATTTCATTACTAAAACAAAATGTTAACAAATTAGCAGATTTTCTTTTAATGTATAAGAGATCTCCAATTAATATCATCCTTTAGTGAAGTGCTGCAAACATTCTATTCTGCTGATTGGAACAGAAAAAAGTTATTTGCTATTATTGTTTCTATTCAATATTTTATACAAAATTTGTCCAGTAGATAAGGGAAGAAAGGGATGTTAAAGGGATCAAAAATGACTTTTTTTCTGCTTATAGAAGACTCAGTTCTGCAAAAAGAATTTTGAAATAGAAAAAGTGATTTTGTAGATCCTAAACAAATAGCCAACATCTAATTAGGGACATTCAGATACTAGGATCATGATTTTAATAGGCAGCTGATTTGAATAGAATTTAAGTGGGAGTGGTTTTTGTTGTTGTTTTTCTTTTATGTTTTGGTGGTACTTGGGTTTCAACTGTGAGCCTCACACTTGCTAGGCAGGTGCTCTACTACTTGAGCCACGCTTCCAGCCCTGAACAGAATTTAAAAAGAATACCTGAAGGGAGGAGGGAACACTAAGGAAAATAGAGGCAAGAAACAAATGGTGCTTATCAAACCACCTTCCACTGTGGTTGATATCTCAACTGTGAAGCAAGTCTCAGTCCAATTAAAAGAATATCACATGGATACATTCATATAAACTTGAATTTATGGCAAGCATCTGGGAACTGATGGAGGCAAATGATTCAGAAATAAGAAGCTCTGATACAAGACAACTAGCATATTTGCAATTTTTGATTGCCGTCTCTGCCTAGGTTCCTGTTAAATCTCTGCCTTTTCTGGGCTGAGATATGTATGAAGCTCAAGCCATTAGGAAAAGAGATGCAGATGGTGGCATTTATTTGGGGTTGAGTTGGTCTTTTTTGGGGGAGTGTTTTTTTGTTTAGAAGCATTTCACCAGGAAGCCCAGGCTGGTCTGAAATTCTCCATCCTTCTGCCTCCATCTCTGGAGTCCTGGGAATACAGGTATGAGTCACCAGACTCCAGTCCAACAGTGGTTTTTATGAAAGAAATTTGTTCATTCTAAAAATGTCAGGAATCACAGAGGCATGAGAGAAAATATGGATGAAAGAGAAATATAGGGAAGTAAAATTTGTTCCATGTAACAGCGAAATTAATTTAAAACTAAAGTAATTAAGGGACTGCACTGTTGGCAAAGAAACATATGAACCAACTACAGAAATAGCACCAAGAAACAGACAGGAAGCAGATGCAAATTTTAGTATAAAACTTTAGTGTGCTCATTCATACTCTTGCTCATATTGATGTATAGACACCTCCCTTGTACTTCTCTCTCTCTCACTTTCTCTCTCTCATACACACACACACACTCACATACTCTTCAATGCCATAAATACAAAAGATTACATTTTATTACATATACTTTAAAAACATGGAAGAAAATACAAAGAAGTCTTCATGACCAAGGAACAAGAATAGATTTCTGAAGCAAATCATAAAAATTTCGAGTATGAAAGAAAAGATTCAATGTGAAATTAAGAATTTCTCCCCCTCATGAAAACTTTTGGAAATTGAGAGGTAAACTATAAATTGGAATATGTTACATGAAACTTTCAAAATAGTTGTAGTATAAATATTTATAAAAATTATGCTAAAGTATTTTTGTCCCAATAAAATTGGCTAATAGGATGCTTAGACATATTTAAAAATAAGTTGATACAGTGCCCAGAAATAGTAAGAGAAGTGATTACTGATCAGATTAATTGCAAGTCCAGGCCACAAACAATGCTACTTTCACACTTTCACTGATGAAATGTGAGAATATCTGACAGTGCCTAGTTTTGTAGAAGATGTAGAATGCTGGAGTTTTTATATGTCTTCAGTGGGAATGGTAATCAATATCATCACAGTGAAAGATGATTTGTTTTGGAATGAAGATGCAATTAACATATCTCAAATCAGTAATTACATACTATGGCATGTGCCCAAGAGTGATTCTGCCACAAGCACATCAGGAAACATGTCAAAGAATGTTGGTGTCTATATTGTTAACAGTCAGAAAAAGTATGGAAGGAAGACACAAGGAACCAGGGCTCATTAATAGAAGAGTGGATGAAAATAACAACAGTATATTCAGTGAATGGAATACTTTATAAGAACCCAAAAAAGGGGTGAATAAAGAAAGGGGTAAATTTCACAATGTACTAAATGATAATGAAAATGTAAAGAAAGAATCCAAGTAAGTAAATTTCAATACTCACACACAGTGGTGCATTTTTTTTTTGAGACCTGCTCTCCCTAAGTATCCCCAGTAGGTCTCCAACTCTCTATCCCCATGCCTCAGCCTAGAGAGTGGTGGAGCTACAGGTATGCAGTCAGACACTTGACTGCATCTTAATGATCTACTAATAGGGGAAAAATAATATTCAAAAAACTAGATCACCTACATTAACAAAGATTATGTGGTTTTATAGCTCTGTATTTATTAAATTTATTTATGTATTTATTTGGTAAAGTTTAAAAACACCATGAAAAGTTGAATGCACCTGTGTGTGGTGTCCCTAGAGAGATTTTAAAACCATCAAACAGGAAGCAAAGGCAGGATGGAGAGTTCCAGGCCAGCCTAGGCTGCATAGTGAGACCCTCTCTCAAACCAAAAGAAGAAATATATGTGTGTGTGTTTCATACATATGGATTCATTGGTATACTCTTCCAAAAAGAGAAGAACTGGAATTACAGGGCACATTCCAGCAAGTCCAGAGGAAAGGGCTGTTTCCTGCAATGGAGTCTCTTAACCTCTTGGTAAGCTTTCACTTTGCTGCCAGGATAAATCTATTCACCAGGATCTGAGGCCCTGCTCAGTGTCCTCTCCACTGAAGCGGTCATTGAATAGTTGAGGATCTTTCCTTTGCTAGGAAAATAGTGATTTTCTTATGCGAGAGTGCCCCCATTGGTGGACTGGTCTCAGCACCTCTAAATTTGCTCTGTCTTCTGTTTTTCCCTGGCATAGCAGCTCCCTCTAGATGGCAAAGGACACGTGGTCCCTGCACACTATTTTTCCAGCGTTCATTTGTCTTTGACCACAGTCTGACCATTTGCCTAGCTTTGCTGACAGGGTCCAGGGTCACTAGTTTCTGGATAATCTGAGTGGAGCTCAGCACCCTTATGAGAACCAGCCAGCCCTCTCTCCCCAGCATGCTAGTAGTCAGGGGAGCAGGATGGCTCCTGGGCTAGGAAGGGTCGCTTTCTCAGTCCCAGGACCCTGAGTGCCACCGCTGCCCTTGCAGTGCCCAATTCAGTGCTCTTGGCAGCTCAGAAGTCAATTCTTCCGCCACTGCACACATTTGCCTGACCCTTGGTCCCAGCACTGCTCATTTCCTTGTATTCTTAGTTTTCAGCGACAGCACCATTAACTTCACCAAGGAGGATGTTTGTGGATGGCAGCATGCCTAGTCACCGTCCCTTGCAGGGACCTGGGAGGGAGCTCCATTTTCTCCCAGCTGATTTTCCCTTCATTGGGGCACAGCTAGTTCCTGGGAGGGTCAGTCTACTCTGCTGCAGCAGCGCTGGTGACATGGATGAGTTTGTTGTTGCAGCTTCTGTGGTTCCAGAAATCACCGCCCAGGTTCCGCTGTGGCCTTGTGGGGACAGAGAGCACCTCTGCCTGGAGTGCATTTGTGGAGCGCAGCACCTGTGCTAATCTTTCCAGCGGCTCTGTCACCAACCCTATCTCAGTTCTGGTAGTCCACCCTGCGGGTTTTGCGAGTAGACATTTAGGAGTTGTGGCTTCCGATGTCTGAGTCGCGGGAGTCGCTGTGGCGATACCTTAGTGGTAATAGTCACAGTTGCAATTTCTTTGTCCCTAAAATGACTGGATTTTTCATGATGGCGTCACCGCCTAGGGTTTCTTAGTGCAGCAGTCACTGCTTAGCACCGCCCTCTGACCCCAGCCCCTCCCCCTGCACGTGACTCCGCTGTGCGCTTTAGCTGCCCGGTTTCACTTGGGTGTTCCTGCTGCGGTTTTTGGCAGCGGCAAAAACCGTCACGGTCAACGCAGTCACGGTGGTATTGCAGTCCGGTCCCATTCCAGTTCCTACACCCGATTGGCTGGAATTTTCATCACGTGGTTTTGTGTCTCTGGCTGGCTCCGCCCACCCGCGGAAGCCCATAAATCCCCAGCCACCACGCAGCCCTGAAGACTCTGCCTCAGCCCTGCTGCACACGCTGCTGTCCCTGCGCTGCGCCGGTGGCCTGCACCCCATGGAGCCGCCATTCGTCCCCCGCGGGAAGCAGGCTGGGGATGCCGCTGGCCTGGCGCCCTGGCCACAGCCTCCTCTTGGCCTGAGCGCCGAAGAGCCTGGACCCGGACCTCTGCCTAAGAAACCTGGAGCAGCAGAGCCCTGCGTTGACAGATGGGCTCTCAGCTGCACCCTGCTCTCTACTCTGGGTGGTGCCTTTGCCTCGTTTACCTGCACAATGGAGGCTACTAGAGTCCGTGGCACGTGGGACTGCCACCCTTCAGTCCAGGACGCCAGACGCCAGAGGCTCCAACGGGAGAGGAGGACCCTGCAGAGCAACCTGGTCGCCCCCATGCCCCAGCAGCTTCTCTGGCCGAGGACGCCCCACCCTGGACAGGAGCAGCAGCCAAGCGGAGAGTCCTCTGAGCCAGGGTTCCTGTCCCACTGCAGCCAGCCTGCCACCCTCACTTGGTGGAGAGGAAGCCTGGATTTCTCCGTCCTCCAGCAGTGGAACCGTTTGCCAGCCTTGTCCGCCCTCGGGGGCAGCTGCCCACCCATCTCTGGCAGCTGGGGCCTTAGATAGGGGCAGGAGGTCTTGATGTTCCTCTTTGGAAGGATTCGTCTCACAAAATGTCTTTACTCAGGAAATAAAGACGCAATGACATTTATACTTGGTGCTTTATTCTTTCTCCTGACGTTTCCCTGTGCCGTTCAACGTTGTCTACTGCTTACATTTTTCTTTCATAAAAACACAGATTCTTTTCATTATGCATTCCTTTTGTGACCTTATATTTATCGAGTTCTACTTTGAAAATGTATTTTTTCATTTGAGAATCCTTCAGAATTTTGGATAATATCAACATTTTTCTATTTTATTTTTTCATACTTATTTATTTTGTGGTACTCATCACTAAACTCAGTACCTGGTACTCTACCCTTTGACTCACACCCTCAATTCCTTTTTTATTTTTTCAAATGGTATCTCATGCTTTTACTCTTTTGCCTTGGGCTGGCCTCTGACAGCTTCCCCCTATCTCAGCCTCCTCAGTAACTGGGCTACTGTATGAGCACAAGGTCAGGGTTGTGTTTGAGGTAGACACTGGCCAACTGTGCCAGGATGGTCTCTAATCACAGTTCTCCTGTCTCCAATCTCCATCTCCAGAGTAGCTGTGGTTATTGGAACGGCCACCTTCTATTTTATGTCTTAGACTTATTCGTGCTATTTTTCAAACTCTTGATTTTCCAAATCCTTTCTTATTCTTATTCTTTATGCTTATCCTTGCATGTATGGTGTTTGTTTTCATTTAATTGTATATGCCTTATGTTTCATAACTTCCTTTAACTCTTAAGTTAATTCATTTTAGTTCTATTTTACATTGGCTGGCTGGGGATAGAACCTTTAGCTTTGTTTTTGGGGGGTGGGTGGTAACTTTTTTTCATTTCACAGCTTTCTTAGTTTTTTAAATGAGATATTAAACTTTGCAGAAAGTTTAATTTTTTTAAATTTATTTACATATACATATGTTTTGCAGTTCTGGGGTTTGATTCAGAGCCTCATAGTTGTTAGGCAGGAGCTTGCCTATTTTGCCATTCTGCTAGCTCTTTTTTTGTTGGGGTTTTTTTTTTTTTTGAAATTTATAGAAAAATTTTATTGAAGATCTGAAAAACAATTCTTAAAAGATTGACTTTTTCAGAAAACCGTAGCTACACAATGCACTACATCTATCATGTTAAGACATGTATTAGACACAAATACAAAAACCATGAAACAAGCCGCCATCCTTCAACAATTTGAGCAAAATAAATGTCTAAGGAACAACATGGATGACTTGGAAGGGATGGGGCTCTTTACTTTTAAGCACCATTAAAAAAAAGAAGAAAAAAGAGCACAAATGGATGAGTGTGTTCAGTTATATACACTGAATTGAACCTTTGGCACTAGGAATCAGCATTTTGTCATATAGCATTAACACGTATTATAAAAGTGCATAGTGTCAAAGAAATAGAACCACCAGCATTCAAAAGCAGCTTTGTCAACTAGGCAATAAAACCCTCTACAGCATGTCTCGCTGTATTGTCCATCACTGAATACACTGGCAGCAACTTTGAAATGGGTTTGCCCACATGTATACACTGGGATGACTTCAACAACAGAGCTTTATTTTGGAACAAAATTTAAAATAATGCCAGAATAGAAGAAGGAAGCCAGAAATTAAATGGAGACAAGAAATAAATGGTGCTTATCTGATCATCTCTCATTGTGGTTGACATCTTAACTGGGGAGCAAGTCTCAATATAGCTAAAATGATATTATACACACTTATTCATGCAAAACTGAAGTTTGTGCAAACATCTGGTGACTGAAGCTAAACAAATGACTCAGAGACAAGAAACTCTAGCTAAAAGATGACTGTCATATTTATTTGGTACCTTCTATCAGGTTTTAGTTGATGATTCTTCCTAAAGTCTTGTTAAACCTCTTCCTCTTCTGGTCTGAGGTGTGGGCAGCTGAAACCATCAGGGAAAGAGAAGTTTTGGTTCTATTTGTTTGCCTGTTTCTGTGATTCTCCCCAGATAGAGCAGTTTGGTTTGAAATGCTCCACTCTTCTGCCTCCATGTGTGGAATGCTTGGGAGTACAGGTATGGGCTACACTCCCAAGATCTAATGATGGTTTTTATTGAAAGAATGTAGTTGATTCTACAAATCTCATGGATACAGATGTGTAAGCGAGAACATTGATAAAAAAGACATATGCTTCTAAAATTTATTCAATGTGATGGAAAAATGATTTAAAAACTATATAAGTGTGCTTATTGTTTGTACAGAAATATGCAAACTGTAGTTGAAGGAATGGCTCCAGAACTAGAGCTCCTGCCTTGCAAGCTCAAAGCCCTGAGTTCCAATCCCAGTACCCCCAACACTAAAGAAATACATAAACTGACTACAGAAATAACACCAGTAGAAAGACATGAAACAGATATGTAATTTTAGTACAGAACCTTGACATATTCATATACATATTTGTTCATATTTTTGGATAGATGCCTTCCTTCTCTCTCTCTCATTCTCTTTCTACCTTACTGTCTCTCTCCCTCACGTTCTCTCTCTCTCTCTCTCTCTCTCTCTATATATATATATATATATATATATATAAAACTATAAAAATGAAAATTTCATAAACAATATTTTTAAATCTGGGAAAAACTACATGGTAGTGGCTAATGCTTGTAATCCTAACCAGGTAGGAGGCTGAGATCAGGATTACAGGGATTTACAGCAAGACCAGGAAAGTGGTTCTGGAGACTCCATCTCCATCTCCTAACCTGAGAAAAATGGTCTGTCTGCAGCACTGATTTTCAAGTTCCATGGCATAAATTCAACCTCCAGTTTCACTCCTCCCACACAAATATTCATGGCAGAAAATACAACAAAGTCATCTTGTCCCAGGAATAAGAATAGATTCTTTTCATAAGTAACAAAACACTGAATATGAAAAAAAGATACAATATAAAATTAAGGCTTTCTCTTCCTTCATGAAAATGTTGAGGAAATTGAAAAATCATTTACATATTGTAACATGTGACAAGAACCTTTGAAAATAAATTGTAAATGAACAAAATATTAACCCTGACTTAAAATCCTTGCTCTACAAAAGGCAAAAAAAAAAAAAAAGAGTGAGGATCAGTGTGCTGATATACCGTGCTTATCATGCCCTCAAAAAAAAAAAAAGTATCTGCAGGGTCTGTCAGCCATGCCCACCAATATGACATCTTTTTATTTTAATTTTCTCCGCATGACATTTCTAAGGACAGGGTATTTGTGCAGATGTCCCAATGTGAATGGTCTCATCAAAGGAACTACATTGGTCCACTGGCACACTGAATTACAACACCTGAGTGTAAGCCTCCTCAGGTAGCTCACACCTGTAATCCTAGCTACCCTGTTCAGGAGACAGAGATCAGGAGGATTGTAGTTCCCAAGGCAACCTGACTTCAAAATATCCAACACCACACAACACACACACACACACACTGCTGGTGAAGTGGCTCAAGTGGTAAAGCACCTGCTTACCAAATGTGAGAGCCTGAGCTGAAACTCAGTACCAACAACAACCACAAAATAATCCTGAGTGTGAACCGGGATGAAATGCTACACTGAAAAACAAATGAATACTGTGAAGGAGGGAAGGAGGAAGGAAAGAAAAAATGGAAAAAAGAAAGAAAGAGAAAGAGAGCAAACAAGCCAAAACAAAATATTCTATCTCCATCCAGGCAATATACAATACAACTAAAAAGATAAAACTTTTGTTATAAAATACAGGCATATAACATGAAATGAAATGAAAAGAAAAACAGTATAGTGCACAGCACTATGAACTCACGTGTGACAATGAGTAGGATGGCAGATGGAATGCATGCAACACAATTTAATATTGACTAAAAGGAGAGGGAGAGAGAGAGAGAGAGAGAGAAAGACAGAGAGAGCGCTGCAGAAATGGGTTCCCCATCCTGCAATGGGGACGCTACTGCAATGTGTAGTGACAGGAGAACCGCCTGCTGCGCTGCTGGCTGTGGCCTGAGGGGAAGGCCAGGCACTGCGCAGGGCAGGGCAGCGGCAGCGGCAGCAGTCAGGCTCCTGGCAAGGAGAAAGCGATCCCTCCGAGCCGGAACCGTCCTGCTCCCAGCACTGCTGGGGAGGGAGCGCGGCCTGGTTGTCTTGTGGCTGTTGCGCGACTCACTCAGGGCATCCCCGAAACCAGTGGCCACGGACCACGTAAGCGGGGCAGATGGTCAGACTGTGGTCAAAGACAAATTAGCCCTGGGCAAAGGCTGGAATGGTAAGTGCTCAGTCCCTGCTCTGCCATCTAGTGGCCATGTGAGCATCAAGCAGGAGCAGAGCAGAATGTGCCTGGAGGGTAACCAACTGAGTTTTCAGAATCTCGTCCAAGGGTTCTACTCGTTAATTCTGCCATGTGGGCAACATGGATGAACTTGAAAGATACCATGATAAGGAAACATGCCAATCACATAAAGAAAACCACAGCATGGCTCCCTACATGAGGCACCAAGGGGGTCAAAATCTCAGAGAAAATGTACAATAGTGGCAACCAGAGACAGTGGCAGGGGAGAGGGGTGTCACAGTTTAAAGAAGAAAGCGGTTCCTGTTGGAAACACGAAGAGGGCTGTGGAGATGGAAGGTGATGATCATAGCTGCACAGCACTATGAACTTACATGTGACAATGAGTATGATGGCACATGGAATGCATGCAACACAATTTCATATTGACTAAAAAGAGAGAGAGAGAGAGAGAGAGAGAGCTGAAGAAGAAGAGTTCCCCATCCTGTTATTCTTTTTCATCTCCCAAGGCTTTCTGTAGGCATTCTCCCCCAGCCATGTCTCTGTTGGCAGAACAGGATTCTAATGTCTGCTCTATTAGCCTTATATGTGGTAAAATAGACTTTCCACAAACAAAAATCAACCCAAGTATTTTGGACTCCTATAGTAGTTTTCCTTTTCATGCCCTAAACCAATCATCCATAGAGTTTTACTCCAGATAATTTTATCAACATGATCGAATTTTATATGTTTCCAGTTGGGATA